AGTCAACAGTAAAAAGGGAAAATCAAGATGGACTGAGGAGATGGCTTAGTGGATAAAGTACTTGCTATGCAGGCCTGAGGACCAGAGTTCAGATGCCCAGCACCACACAGATGCTGAGTGGGAATGGCAGCCTGCCTATAACCTCAGCACACAGGAGGCAGAGATGAGATCTCTGGGGCAAGCTGGCTAGCTAAATTAGCCAAATCATGAGCTCTGGATTCAAGGGAGAGACCCTGCCTCAACTTAATGTAAGGCAGAGATCAGTGGAGGAAGACACCAACATCAACATCTGGCCTGACCAGATGCAGTCATGGAGACAAAGCTGAGCCTACAGGTCCAGAGGCTAATTCCTCTGTAGGGTTTTTAATTGAGTGCCTACTGTATTCCATATCCTATACACTGGGAGATTTGGTCACCATGTCCTTGTAAGTACCAAAGTCAGACTTCCTAGATTCCATCCTTAATTAATAACTGAGTGACATTGTTCAAGTTCCACACTTTGCTTCACTTTGCTTATAGGGTGGATCTCCTGGGGGGCTTGTCATAGGGAGTCAATGAAGTGGTACTAGAAAGTTATTTGGCAAGCTATAAACAAGCACTGTGGTTGCCTTGGTTACAATTCTGAAAGCCCCCATACCTGTGCATCTGCATTTCATTCAGTCAGAAAGCTGGACTGTGTAGCCCCTGTCTTCACGTGTTGGCTGTGAGACCCGAGAAGGGTTATTTAGACTCATTGTTTAGCATTTCAGCGCTGCCAGTTCTTTTAAACAAGCCTTCCTCACCAGATTGGTGGGGAGTAAATGAGCTGACAATCCAGTAAATGCTTTTTTTTTTTTTTTTTTTTTTCTAAGCAGGGCCCCTCTATGTAGTCTGGACCATGCTAGAAATCACTTTGTAGACCAACCTGGCCTCAAACTCACAGAAATCCACCTGCCTTTGCCTCTGCTAGATTAAGGGCAGCACCTGAAGCATGAGAGCTGCTATCCGGACATAAATGGAAGCAGAATCCTCCTCCCTCCAGTACACACACGCACACGCACACGCACACACACATGCACGTGCGCACGCACGCATGCACGTGTATGCACACATACATAAACCCCTACCTGGGGTTGGGCTATAGAGTTGGAGTCTCCAGGTGCATCAGATTGGAGGTTGGTTAAGATACTATCTAGACAGCAGGCATGAGGGCCTCTGAGTACTCCCCAAGGGAACAAGCAGTTCCCAAGTCCCTGGGAGCTCTGTGCCTTACAACAGAGCCACCTGTCTGAGACCAGCCTCTTTGTCCCTCATTCTAACAGGACATTTACATGCCTACTCTCATGCCAATTGCTTAAGCATCACTTGGTAGCCAAGCAAGAAGGCAGGACCTTTCTCTGTGGGCCCAAAGTCTGGCTATGACCCTATTCCCAGGGTGGTCTTGGAAAAATTACTAGAAATACAAGGTCAAAAGAGTAGGCACAGGAGCTGGGTGTTGGTGGTACACACATTTAATCCCAGCGCTTGGGAGGCAGAGGCAGGTGGATCTCTGTGAGTTCAAGGCCAGCCTGGTCTACAGAGTGAGTTCCAGGACAGGCTCCAAAGCAATACAGAGAAACCATGTCTCAAAAAACTGAGAGAGAGAGAGAGAGAGAGAGAGAGAGAGAGAGAGAGAGACAGAGACAGAGACAGAGGGCACAGAGATCTCTGGGGGCAGGTGGATAGGTCATGACAGGAACAGCTACAGGAGGGCATGATAGCCAGTCACCTGGGAAATGCAGCCGAGGAGAAAGGTGTGCTGGCACTGCAGAGGTAAATAAGGACAAGCAGGCAGAACATGCCAGGCGCAGAGGTCATCATGTTCAGGAATGTAAGATCATGAAGCAGACATGCAGGGAACCATACAGGGTGAGATGGACCAAGTGTGTTGAAGGAAGCCTAGAGCTCCAGGCAACCCTAACTGCCTTCTAGGCTTGGCTAAGCTGAGCTCCAGAGCATGCTGCTGGGACCCAGGAAACCAAGTCAGATCAGGTACAGACACAGCAGGACACTGACCCCTCCTTCCACAGGCCAGGGATTCCACCTGTTCTTCTAGTTACTCCTCCAGGAAGCCACTGTGACTGAAGCCCTAGACTTTAAGACCAGAAGGCCACAAAGAGAAATTGAATCTGAGACCAAATTAGAAAACATTTCACTTTACACTTGGCTCTGAGTCAAATCTCAGCTCCGGGATAAGGGATCCATAGGAAAAAATGCTTCCCCAAGCATTTAGCCCGGGGCTGACCCCCAGATCTATCCAGTGAGTGTCAGCTTCCTTAAGCATCAGAACCTGCAGACATCAGGCTTCTCATTTCATATGGGAGGAAATGAAGCAGCTCAGGACACCCAGTGGCAGGCTCTGTGACAGCCCAAGAACACAAAGAATGTAGGTGGAGGTCAGAAGTATCTCATCCCTCCCTACCTGGCACCTATCATGGTTCAAAACATGGATAGGACAGGCTACATTGGGTCTCAGATGTCTGTCTGACACACAGAGTCTTGTTGCTCAGAAGCTTTGACACCATAGAACTGTGGTTGTGGTCCTGATCCTGTAGTTCCAAGAAAAAGATCTTTGAGCGATCACAAACTCAGCCTCAGTCTCCCCATCTGTCACATAAGGCTTATAGTACTATAGCTGGAGCATACTGCTGAACTATAATTTGCAGGTCCATGAAATATCGCATTATTTATTGCTACAATGCTAGGGAGCCCAGAGCCTCACATGTGCTGGACAAGCACTCTACCATTCAGCCATATCCCCTATTTAAAATATCACACTCATCAAGCCTGGTAGAGTGATGTGAGCCTTTAATCCCAGCAATTGGGGAGCAGAGACAGGAGGATCTCTGTGAATGGGAGGCCAGCCTAGTCTACACAGTGAGTTCCAGAGTTATTTAGTGAGACTCTGTCTCAAAAGAAAATAAAAAAATATAAAATAAAACAAATATTACACTCTTGAATTTCTTTTCAAGAGACTTAACTCTGGCTACCCTGGCTCCAGCACTATCAAGCTCCCCACATGTCTGTCTCCCTTAGGAAGGCAGAGGTTCCCAGGGCCCAGAAGTATAGGCAGGATCTGTGCCATCCAGTCTGTTCTAAACACCAAGGACCCGTGGCCTGAGACGGTGTGGCCCCTGTCATCTTGTGGCATTCTGCTTCAATGGGTCAAGGTTAGAGCAGATCACCAGACCCACCCTCCCAGGCAGGAGAAAGGCCAGATCACATTCCAGGCCTGGGCCCGTCATCTGTTTTCTGCCCTTTTCCACTCCCAGCCCTCAGGAACTCTCTGGGACTCACTCCTCAAAAGCAATGACTTATTTGACAAGTCCTGATGATGAGGTGGGGGTGTGTGTTCTGGTTCCTAGAAGGCTTGAGGTGGTTCTACTACAGCCTTCAAGCCCCAAAGTAGAGAAATGCAAAGCCTGGCAGGTATGTTGGCACAGGCTTGTAACCTAGCAGCATCTGGGTGGCCGAGGAGGAGGAGCTTGAGTTTGAGGCCAGCCTGGGCTACATAAGCTCCGCCAAGGAAGGAAAAGAAGAAAGGAGGAAGGAAGGAAGAGAGGAAGGGAGGGAGGGAGGGAGGGTAAAGGGTAGGGTAGAAGAGGGGAGGAAGAAGGAAGGAAGGAAGGAAGGAAGGAAGGAAGGAAGGAAGGAAGGGGAAAGGAGGGAAGGAAGGGGAAGGAAGGAAGATAGTTTGGACCCATTCTACGGGAAACAGTCTGTACAAATTGAGCATCCCTAATCTGAAAATCCAAAATCTGAGGCTTTTTGAGTGTGAGTGTGACACTCAGCCTGATTCCTGTCTGTAGATGGCCTCTTGCGCTGATCCATCTCCCCCAGGGGGCAGGCAGGCAGTAAGTGGATCTCTGAAATCCCACTCTGTTATGTTTGGAGCTGCTTGGAGGACAGAACCATGCAGGGTGTGGCCGCCCAGTGGTGACTCACACAAGAAGCATCTAACCCCCTGATACCTGTATCCTTCGGCTTTGGCCAGCCTTCAAGACGGACCCTGCAAGAGATGATGGAGCATTCCAGACAGCATAGAATCACCAAGAAGCATGCACAGCAATGCAAGGTGCTCAAGGCATTTGTACATGTTCCTATACCACAGAAGTTCTATTGCCAAGAGAGAAAAAGAAGCTGGCTTGTAGAGGATATGGGTCCTAAAATGACAGTTAGAATTAGAACACATTGGAGAAGCATTTTTATTATGAGACCTGAGAAGCATGGGGTGGGATGGGAGGCACCCCAGATGCTGCAAAAGTTGACCCAGAGATAGAAAAAAACCAACTTCCTTTCTCCTGTGCAGAACAGAAACCATGAAAGATGCCTGAGTTCCTGCCATAGGCCCTCGTTTGTCTATCTGGGAAATGGATGCAATGCCCCCAGTGGACTGTGAAAAACAAAGTTGCCATTATCTAAAGAAGCTTGCTGAGTGGGGCTGCCAGCTAGTTTGGTGGCTTGCTGACAAACCTGATGAGCTGAGTTCAATCCCTGAGACTCACACTGTGAAGGGACGACTTCTGCAGCTTTCCTGTGGCCTCCATACTAGGCAGTGGCACATGCTGCCCTCCCATAATAAATAAATGCAAAAATTAAAAAAAAACAAAGCTTGCTGACAAAATGGTGGTCCCAGTCACATACTCTGCTCCTACCAAGATGGAAAACCAGGGGACATAGTGGTTTGACTTGTGCCTCCTCAACAACTCTAATGTCCAGAGCCCCACCCAAGCCATGGATGTCCATTTATCTGCAAGAATACTGGATATAACCACTCTGCCTGAGGTACTAGCCCAGTGTGGAGGTAAAAGGGTGTCCATAATCATGTTGCCAGGACCTGCTCCAGGAGAGGGGCTAGGGACCTCAAAACCTGATGTTGATAAAAGGTGGATGCTCAGGCTCTGGGAGGCTGCTGGGCCAACACTCCCCAGGAATGCCAGGGAGGCCCCAGACTAGAGGAAAGGAGAGTTCCCTTCTCTTACCTGCCTTCAGGAGGAAGCCAAAGACTGGGAATTCTGCCCCAGGTGGGTAGCAGTGGGCAGTCTGACCTCTAAGATTCTTGCTCTTGGTGAGGACATGAGTCACCTAATTTTTCTGAAAAAGAATTGAAATCCCCTCAGTGGCCTTCTGTCGTCCTCTGTCCCACTGCCTCCAGAATGTTCTAGAACAAGATCATAGCGCTCATTTGCTCACCCACCTTCAAAGCTTCCTATATCACCTCTACCTTTTGCCTCTTCCTGGCTAAGCACCAATGCTTCCTCAGGCTCTTGTTAGGCAAGTTAGGGTGAGAAGCACTATACCCTGGGTAGAAACCAGACCAGAGGGCTAGCTTGGACCTCAGCTGTCTTCTGGCTCAGCTCCCTGCAGTAGGAACCACCTGCACCCTCTGACCAACAAACTTTCTTAAGACCATAGTACTCCAGAACCTGGACCAGTACATGGGATCCAGGGGCCTCAAGGTTGTAAATACAGCCCATAGTAGCCCCAAATCACATTTGTCCCCACTGCCGCCCACAAGTCACCAGAATACAGCAGGACTCAGTCAGGAGGTCACCCCCACCACCAAAAGGAAGCATTCTGAAAGCAACAAGGAGCAAACATCTCCTGTGCTGTGTGCTGCACATGGGGGTGGCAGGAAAAGGCGCATCACCTCAGAGAGGAAAGGGCAATGGGGTGGGGGCAGGGGCCAGGCTGAGGCTGCCAAGGAGTGAAATGAACCTGAGATCTGATAAAGAAGCCACATGCTGAGCAAGGCTGGGGTGTAGCCAGGAGGTTGAGATGCAGCCTGCAAGCTGGGGTGCAGCAGCAAAGCTTAGAGGCCAGGGGCACAGTGACAACTCAGCCTGCTGACCTCCGAACTTCTGAGATAGTGGTCAGGTGCTGCCCATCCTGCAGCACATCCAAGTCCCAGGTTTCAGGCTCTAAAGGGTCCTCGCCCCGGAACTGGTTTCTGGGTTGCCTGTCCTGCCTGGGCTTGGCCTACAGGGTATAGAAGGGAAATGGAGGCTGGTCAAGTTTCCCAATTTCAGTCAGTGTTGTCAACTATAGGGTCTAGGCTTGCTCCTGCTCCTGGGCCACTCAGAGAGCAGAGACAGGAATGGGCATGGGACCAACCAAGACTCAGGTGGCAAGTGCTCTTTGTTCAGCTCCTCAGCTGACCTTTTCATAGCCTTAGGGGCTGTTGCTTTCCCTCTGGGTTCACTATCCTCCAGAGGTTGTATGTGGGCCATCTATATCATCAGAATTTTGGAGAGGTGCAGCTTAATGAGGGAGGAGGGTGCAGTTTCTTGCTATGCAGTCCCCAGACAGTGGCTTAAGCCAAAACCAGACCAGCTAAGAACTGAACATTCTACATCTCAGGACAAACCTGGCTGAGGCCACCATGACTGGTAGTGTCTTTCACACTCTGGCCTTGAGATTCCTTTTAGTGAGACTCTAGAGGCCCTCCCCAGCCCACTGCCTGACCCATTCCATGAAAGGACAGGACCTACCCTTCTGGACAGATTACAACTTGATTGGAGAGACAGCAGCAAACCTCTCCTGGGACTGTAGAGCATGTAGTCAGAAGCCCATGCAAACTCTGGGGCAAGAGCCCATGATTCACTAGGATTGCTCTTAAGGATCTGGGCAGCATGCAGCCTGGCCCACAGAGAATAATAGTAACAGCATCCCAGTGGCAGGAAGGGTGCAGAGTGGGCCTCGGATACCACATCTGAGTGCTTAGCTGGATGGTAAGCACCAGAGACCCCAATAGCTTAAATTCAAAATCCACTCACTTCATTCTCTGAATTCCCTAGCTGTGGCCATTGCCAAACAATTTGCACCAAAATAAACAGAAACAATGAAAGCTCAGTAAGCAAGTTGAATTTTCGTTGTACTTTTTTCAAGCGAAGAAAGGCTTTTTGCAGACCCCACCCCACCCCACCCCACCCCCGTTACCCCACAAAAGGAGTTCTGAAAGTGTCTACCCTCATGCTCTGATTTTCTGCATAGCTTCCTCCAGTAGGAGCAGGCCACCTTTAGCAAGTAGCCAGGGCTGGGTGGAACCCATCCACACCTGTGTGGCAAGGCAACATGGTACCAATCCACCCTGATGGGTATCCATGGGCGTTCATACCATGGTCCCTTGCTACCCACTCAGTCAGTTTTGTCAGTCTGCTAAGGAACATCTTCATGTTCTCATTAGCTAGTCTTTATTACAGGCTGAACTGGAGCTTCTCCTGTCTCAGTTTCCCTAGTGCTGGAATCACAGGAGTGCACGACAGTACTGGGCTGTATTCCACCAGGTTCATCAGCGAACAGAGGCTGGGAAAGGCAAAGCAACCTGCCCATACTCTAACTGTGTCAAGTAGATAAGTACTATACCTGGACTGAGGGAAATACTGATTTGTTTTCTTTTGTTGTTGTTTTGTTTTTGAGACAGGGTTTCTCTGAGTAACAGTCCTGGCTTTTCTGGAACTTTCCCTGTAGACCTGGCTGACCTTGAACTCACAGAGATCCTCCTGCCTCTTCCTCCTCTGCTGGGATTAAAGGTGTGTTCTTAACTGTATGCAAAGAGCCCAAACCCAAAGGTTGTTTTGGAAACATGCCAAAGTGCAGGCAGCTGGGGGAATGGGCAAGAGAAGGCAGTAGGCCTCCCTCCACAGACCTCACCTCTGAGTCCCTGTGTCTCCAAGGTGGGCAGGAAGAGAGCAGGGGTAGGCTGAGCTTGGAAGACATGTAAAATGTGTTCACATCAAGCCGCAGGAGCCATGTGCATGTGTGTGTGTAAGGGAAGAGCCAGAGGTGGACTGTGACTCCCCCAGGGCAGAAGAGCCTAAGCCACTGTGAGGTGCCCTTATCACACCCTGCATGCTCGCTGTAGAGGCTCCTGCACCCACTGCTTTTTTTTTTTTTTTCCCACAGATTCCCTGAGCAGGATTGATGAACAACGTAATAACGGGGGCAATCACATTATTCCTGAATGCATTTTAATAAAAATCAAATAAAAGCAATTATGTGAATTTCCAAGAGGATCACCTCTCCTCCTTTCCCCGAGGTAGGAAATGGAATGAATTCAGGAAATCATTAAAATCAGAAACTGAGCTGGCTGCCACTGAGGCTCCAGCGGCTACACAAAGGCAGCAGGGAAGCCTGGTCGCCACTGGCACTTGGCAGCCAGCAGCGTGGGCGCCTTTCTTCAGCTAACTATGTGGAAATCCCACCTATGGGTGACAGAGGGTAATTAAGGGCCATAGGAACTGCTTTGAAAGCAGGTCGCCTTTTACTCCTCTAGTGCAGACTGGCGGTTGCAAAAGAACCTAGCCTCCCCTCAAAGGAGCATTTCTGTTACCAGCAGTCAGGGGCCTGGTGGGCTCAGAGAGGGTTCTCAAACAACTCAGTGTCCCTATGTGGGACATACAGAGCTCAGCCCATCTGGATGCCAGAAGTCTGAGTGTCCTGTCCTCCGTCATTCCTCATAGGGGCAGAGGCTGTTACCCTCAAGACCCTTCTGATGGCCCATCAGTTGCTCTTATCTCATCTAACCCTTGAGTTGATAAGGTCCTTTGAGATGGAAGTAGCTACAGCCAGAGGGGGCCAGTCGCATACTCAAGCTCTCAGCTGGTAAGGCAATGCCAAGTCTGGATTCTGGCTCTCCTGGGACCACCAGGGCAAGCACACATCCTGTGGTATTGGTGGCCTGAACCCAGGGGCTTCCACCAGGCACAGAGCTTGGAAGATTCAATGGAGTGTCTCAACTGTGTCCTGGACTGGTGACTATTTCCAGTAGTTATCCTATCTGCACATCTGTGGGAGTGGGTTTCAGGGAGGCAAGGAGCTTGTCCACAGCCCCACAGATGGAAGTGGAGTCATGGGCTCTACCAAACTAGCTGCCAGAGTTCCCAGGCAGAGACCATGTCTGCTAAGCCACAGGGCCACTGAGAGAGCTTTCCCTCAGGCCTTTGGAAGAAAGATGTAGAAGGTATGACAGGAATCTGCCAGCCCCTACAATCATACTAATAGCCCATGCCACGAAGTCACATGAAAAGGAAAGCCCAAGAGGACCCAGAAAGGACTTCTCAATTATGTCAAAGTTCATCTCCCTCAAATACAATAACTTGAAACTCAGTTGCAGTGGGTACTGCAGCTGAAGGTCCCCTTTGGGGACAACCTGAGTAAAGAGACAGGGGGAAATGTCTGGAGTGACCTCTGCATACTCGTCCCTAGTTCTTATGTCCTCTCTGGGCACACATGCACATGTGTATAACTATATGTGTGTATGTGCATGTGCATGTATACTTGTGTGAATACCCTGGGGCAGGAATGACCTGGTTCCTGCTTCAGACATTTGGTGGTGCTGTTCCACCCTGTCCAGTCTCACTCGACTCCAGGCTGTCTTCAGTATCTGCCGTTGCTTACAGCTGTGCGCCCTCCTATAGGACACTTGTGGAAATGTCGCTGGGGAAAATCACAGCTTACATTCCGGGAAGCAAGAGAAAGGGAAGATTCTGGACCTTCCTGCTGTCAGCTTCTTTGTGGTTCAGGCAGGCCCCAAACATCACTCAGCATGAGAAGCAAGCACTGGACACCTGGTTGCTGGTCTCATGGCTCTGGCCCCACTGGCCTGCAGCTGCCCTATCAGGCCCCTGGATGCTAGGGACTCTATCTGAGAGGCTGAGGTCATGATACTGGAGGGTGTTAGGGCTGGTGGGCAGTCCAGGATGACATGTGACTAGTTAATCAGTCCCCTCAAGGGCCAGCCTCTGTGGTCAAATGCATGATAGGTTCTTCATATATGTGCCTTGTGTGATGCTCAGAGATCAAACAGACTTGTCCACAAAGAGAAGACTTGGGATCATATTATACTCATATGTAAATGTGTATGTATATATGTATGTCTGCATTTCTGTACACACACTCATAACAATCACACTTATATGTAGGCATGTATATTGACTTACACATCCATCCAGCAAGTAGATAGATAGCAGAGTACCCCAAGTCCTAGGAGTATCCCTGAGACTTGCTCCAAGTCCAAAGGCCAGACTAGCCCACAGGACTTATAAGAAGTCCATGTCCATGGAGTCTTTATACCCAGGA